GTCCCCAGACTACTGATCGATTGAAAGGAGTAGTGTTTGCTAGCCTGCCACGTTGAAGGGATCTGAACACGGGGGTGGGGGGCGGCGGCTGTTCTGTTCGTTTGACACCGATCTTATCAGCAGTCTACCCCGTTTGACTCACCTGTGTGGTTAACCAGAATTTCCGGGTAGTTTCAAGGCATTCAGGTTTCTTTAAGCTGATTCATCAACCGGCTAAACCACTGATGACGTCTACCCCAGAATACCTGATTTCATACACTAAATTTGCGAAAGGAACTATGTCACACTGTGTACATCCACTGCAACACCCGCAGCTTTCCCCTTACTGAATCTAAGTGTTCTAAATGACAGAGACAATGTTAAGCGCGAAACCTATGACTTGCTTTGTTGTTAATAATCATAATTTTAGGCTCTTTTATTTCTCTCTTATTTTGTATTCCATAGTGAACTCCTTCTTAAACATACTTAGCTACCTAAATTATTAACATTGGCTTACTTTTTGTACTTTACTCTATCCCTTCTTTTGTGTATCTACTGGTTCCGACTATATTGGCACTATGAGTAGTACAAAATTTTCTTGTCATTAACCATCATGTAATTATTAGTTTTGTGGTTGTTTTTTCTTATTTTCTATACTTTTCGGCAATATTAACTGACAATCATTGGTTGTGAACGCCAGTGTCACCACCTTAAAAATTTTTGTATTATGCAGGATTACTCACACTACCACTACAAACACTGCATTAGACCTGACAACAACAAAAAGCAACAACCCTGAAATGTTATTTTATGATTGTTTAGTGTTGTTTCAACCAAATTAACTGATCATCTTGGCGATACACATTCTTAAATATCATTTCATAACTTCTTGTGTGACTATAGCTTTACTGTCACCATGCAGAATCATATCACAGCTTCCACTACCCAATACTGAGATATTATTTATTATGTTGTTTATTTTCCTTTCTACTTCTGGGTAATTTTTCGCATTTAAAAAAATTATTTTTTGTTGTTGTCTTTATATTTATTTTTTGAAATACTCCTTTTAAATGTTTGATAAAATTAGATGCAAATATTGTAGATATGTGCTGACAATTCCACACTGTACCACTAGTACTGTTTCTGAAATAAAGCAAATTATTATTATTATCACTTCAGGTAAAACAAGAAGGCTTTTCAGAAGACTTTATGCACGTACATTTAAGTATAAAAACTCCACGATACCATTTTTGACGGCAGGTATTTTGTGTGATGAAAATAGTGTCAAGCACGAACCAACTGACTAAACTTCTTTGCACTAGTAAATAAACCATTTCCTCCACCTTTATTCCACCAAGCTTTACTGTTATTATTCTTCCTATGTTTACAATCCTCTCATTTTGTTTTGTTTATTTTCTCATAAGCGTAAACATCATTTAATCTTTTTAATTAGTTGTTATATTTTGTTTTTCCTCTCACCATGCTATACCAACAGAACATTAGATTCAATGCTGTATAAAATGCTAAAATTTCCATACTAACTGTATCAACAATACTGTTTGAAACAAACTCACTGTTAGTATTATTATTATTATTATAGTTACTGTTCTCACTCTGCACTTTGCACATTTTTGACTTTATTCCTATTGTAAATGTGGATAAATTCCTGTAGTTACTTTGTATTTATATTTTGAGTAAATTTAGATGTAATACGGTGACAAATACTGCGAATCCCATACTGTATTACAAGTATACTTTGTTTTGGAATAAAGCAGATTATTATTATTATTATTATTAAACGAGGGAAATAACCGCCCAGTGTTTAAAACACTTCAGTCTGGATAGCTAAGCACTAGTGTCCAATCACAGTATCCAATACAGTCCCACAGGAGGTCAATCGCGAGCCCAAATGTCTCAGTGGTAACATCTCTGATTGCATCACTGAGTGACACGGGTTCGAATCTCAGAAGTTCCTTCAAGGTTGCAGATAAGCCGCCTTGCTAACTTGTGAGTGCCAAATTACACGAAACCTAGGTCAGGCAAGGCTTTCTGCCGAACGCCCCCAAACATTTAATAGTTAATCACTACCCGTTAGTGTGAGTGATGTCCAACTACTTATGTCAACCATCATTCAGTAGTACATAAACTCGGTGTGTCTTCTTTTGGAAATCAACACATTTTTTTCTGAATGATTTTAAACATCATCCTAGAGACTACATTGGGTATAATTGGTGGATGGTGACTAGCGATGGAATCCAGGATAACGCACATTTCGTCCTATTTTGGGACTCGTCATCTGGATGTACCAACAAATCAACCTGAGACCGAGCACTTTGGTCCAATCAATCGACGGGAAAATTGAATTAAATAATAACTATGACCCGTTTCACAAAAGGCGGCTCTCGTGGCCCAAGTGGTCTACTGGATAACACTTTGGCGTTTGGAACTATGGGCATTGGGTTCGAGTCTCTGCGGGAACACCATCACTCATTGACTGGGGAATGCAGGTACATCCAGTCACCAATGAGTCTCAAATAGGACGAAATACGCATTATCCTGGATTCCGCTGCTAGTCACCATCCACCAATTAAATTCGAATTAAATGCCCAGACATCGTCGAAGCATCTGCACAAGAAGCCGACATGTCAACCTGAGACCGACCACTTCGGTCCAATCAATCAGTCGACGGGAAAATCTAAAATCCAAAATTGGATATTGTATATGTAATTTGATATTTAGCAATGTGATAGGAACAGACAACATCCCATTGTAACACTGACAACTAAGTGCTTATCCGTTTGGCTTATATGACAACGTTCCTTTGTATAACAAAGGATAGTTATGAGAACTACAACTGTTAGGATGGCCTTCAAAGACACTCTTTTATTTCGAAATGTCTTACACAGATAGAAATCATGCCCATAGCATCTTGACTAACAAGAAAGTATAATGTTTGAATGTATCTATCAAAAGGTACTGATTTTAAAAGGTCAAAAAAGGACGCTGAAAGTTATGAAGAGACTCACTTCTAGTTATCATTCACTAATGATTAATACTCCTTTTAAGTAAGCTGATTTCAACAAAGAAAGAAAAAACATTGGCACGCAGAATAATCTGAATCCCTTTTAATTTCTTCGGTTCTCATCAGCAGCTGCGTACAACCTGAATTCTTTAATAAAATAAAAATAAAGTGTACAATTCTAACAAACTTTTATCTATTAGCAAGCATATTGTCAGAGTGTCATAGAGAAATAATGCGTTGTGATTTACAAGGTGTCTATGGTGTTACGTAAGTAGATAACTATTACTAATTTCCTTTTGTTACCACCCCAACAACACAACTGTTAATTAATTTTTTTCAAGAAACTTCTCTCTAACAAGATATATATATATATCGTAACACTTTACACACCTTGTAATTTGCAACGTCTTATTTTACTATGACTCTCTGACAATATGCTTGCTAATAAACAAACGTTTGTTAAAATTATAATAAAGGTTTTTGTATTTCCCAATGAATGAAAAACAAAACGATATTGTTTTTACTGACGTTTCGCTATTTAATGCTAATAGCTTTATCAAAGTAATATTATTAAACCGGAATTTACATAACCTCAGCATGTATATGACAAAGAGTTAAGAGATGAGAAAATAGACTTAGGTCAACTTAAATGGACATATTGAAAGTCAAAATAACAATGAAGACCACTAAACCAAATAACAAAGGTAATAGAACGTCTGTTATGATATCAAAATGAAGTTTACTAACTTGATCATCGTTCTCGAGAAATCAAAATCAGAAGAAATGAACACCGTAGAGCATCTCTTCGACCACCGAGAAATCCCGTTGAACTACAAAAACTTGAATAATCATCAGCCATAGGTCTACATGCTATAGAATCAGGCCACAAATTGATTTTGACAATATTGAAATCATCATCCAGAAAAAAGCATTTCAGAAATCACAAAGAACGTCTAATATCGGAAGCACTTCATATTAAATGGAATCCAAATTGTCTGAGCTGAATAAGAATGATGGACTAAAACAGAATCTGACCTGGTAAAAAGACCCCCCTCTCCGTGAAGTGACAAAATCAACACGAATGTGATAAGCCATTTCATTATGTAAACACACGCTACTTTTATAATTTTACACACTGATCAAATCCAACAATCTACACATGATGGTTTTGTTATCTTTACCAATTGACCAACTTGACAACGTAAAATGACTCCAGACTGACGAATGATGATCAAGTTAGTAAACTTTATTTTGATATCATAAAAGATGTACCAAATACCTTTGTTATTTGGTTTAGTGATCTTCATAGTTATTTTGACTTTCAATATTTCCTTTTAACTTGACCTAAGTCTATTTTTTCACCCCTTAACTCTTTGATATATATATGTTGAGATTTTATAAATTCTAGTTTAATAATACTACTTTGATAAAGCTATTAGCTGCATTAAATAGCGAAACGTCAGTAAAACAATATTGTTTTGTTTTTCATTCATTGGGAAATACAAAAACCTTTATTATAATGAATATCATATACGCAATGTCCAAATATTTTCAAACCGTTAAAAGTGAACTTGGTTTGGACATATATAGCATGTTAGAATTGTACACTTTTTTATTTTATTAAAGAATCCAGGTTGTACGCAACTGCTGATGAGAACCGACGAAATAAAACGGATCCAGATTACTCTGCGTGCCAATGTTTCTTCTTTCTTTGTTCAAAGTGATAAAAGGGAATCATTGTATGAGCTGATTTACTCGGCTGAAGTTTCATTGCAATACAAACCAATAGATTTTCAGTGACTGCAAATGTATATCTTGTTGTTTATGTGATTTTAGATATCAATATGAGTAGAAATCAGAATTGAAGAGGAAGAATAAGGAAAATAACGCGAAACACTTAATCTCTGCATCCGAATGACAACAATCCAAATAGTTGAACGCTAATTAGCCCCACCAGCTTTCTATTTTCCTTCATATTCGTATTTCAATACTTCAAAACATGGTCGTTGCACAAACTGACATTCAGAATAACAATAATAACAATAATGATAATAACACCAATAGAGCTGATGAGACTGCAGATGGAATCCAGCTGAAAATCAAGCCTAACAGTGATCATCCACAAGTTAATACACCTAACCAACATCAGTCAATCAATTCATCAACACATCAAAATGATTCAGGGAATAAAATCAATAATGAAAGCAAACCTCAGCAAATGAAATCCACCGATGTATGTGCTAATGATGATAATGAAGAGAAAATATTAGCTGAATTATTCAATAGGAAACAGTTACTGTTACAACGTCTTTCTGAAGAAATGGAAAAATATGAACAATTATGCTGGGAAGAAATGGTAAGTGAAAATGAGAAATAAATATATTATTAAATTTTGAATTGAAGGGATTTGATCGTGTACTAGTTTGCTCATGAGCTGACAGAAGTTAGAGAACCGGCGGAAAATCAGTAGGGAGTATTGGACAGCTGTTTCGTCCCAGTTTCTGGCTCTTCAATGGTAAACACCTGCCATGGTTCGAATTCATGGCATTCCGGTTCTGGTGGGAGATTGTGACGAGAGGGCTCCACTAAGTCTGGGAAGAAGACTGTTATGCATTCATGATACTAAGTGGAGGTTACGCTGTATGTATTGCGAATTAGCCGGAGCTGGAATTCATGAGCCCTGGGATCGGTTTCCAGTGACTAAATGGCCTACAAATTTATCTGGTAGCCGGAATGTCCTGAGTAGGAGCTCCGGTGAGTGTGACAGATTATTATTATTTCCTTTAATTCCTAGAGGAACATAGGGCTTCAGCCATGCGTCTCCATTGCGTTCGGTTCTCTGCTGTAGTTTTCACCTGGCTCCAAGTCTGCCCACACGCTTTCAATTCCTCTTCACATGATCTCCTCCAGGTCACCCTTGGACGACCAACTCGTCGCTTCCCTTTCGGGTTCCACTCGAGGGCTTGTCTAGTGATGTCACTTGCTGGTTTCCTCAGAGTGTGTCCAATCCATCTCCATTTCTTCCTGCCTATTTGTTTCACGATCGGTTCCTAGTTGGTTCGCTCCCAGAGATCTTTGTTGCTGATCCTCTCCGGCCATTTGATCTTGAGTATTGAGCGAAGGCATTTGTTAATGAAGGTCTGTAGCTTGTTTGAGCTGCTCTTTGTGACACGCCAAGTCTCTGATCCGTATAGTAGTACTGACTTCACATTGGAGTTGAAAATACGGATCTTATTTTTGATGCTGAGTGCTGTTGACCTCTACACAGACTTGACAGTAGTGAAAACTTGTCTTGCTTTTCCGATTCTTGCTTTGATATCCTCGTCAGTTCCGCCTGTAGTTGAAACGATGCTTCCGAGGTAGGTAAAAGAGGTTGTTTCTTTCAGGTTCCTCCCATTTATGCTGATTGTTGTCTGTTGTTGCTGTTGCTGTTGGCCAGAAATCTTCATCACCCCTGCTTTCTCTATGTTCACCTGAAATCCTATCTTTGATGCTTCTTCTGCCAATTTGTTGCTTTTCACTTGCATATCTTCCAGTTTGTGGGAAATCAGACATATATCATCGGCGAAATCCAAATCCTCCAAGGCTTTTGTGTCGGTCCATTTTATGCCTGTTCCCTCGTTGGTTGCCGTTGTCTGCCGCATTATCCGATCTACTGCAATCAGGAAGATCATTGGTGACAGTAGACAGCCTTGTCTCACTCCCGTCCTCACTTCGAAGGATTCCGTGAGCCTCCCGTTGTGGATTACTTGGCATGCAGCGTTGTCATACAGCTGTTGGATGAGATGTATAATTGTCGGCGGCACCCCGTAGTAGCGAAGTAGTTGCCAAATCACCTCTCGATCGACGCTGTCGAAGGCTTTCTCAAAATCGATGAAGTTGAGATAGAGAGGTGACTGCCATTCCAAACTTTGTTCAATGATAATCCGTAGGGTGGCGATTTGGTCAATGCATGACTTGTTCCTCCTGAATCCGGCCTGTTCCGGACGAAGTTTTTCATCTAGGGCTTGTTTAATTCTCTCCAGGATGATGCGACATAGTATCTTGCTTGGAATGGACAGAAGCATAATTCCACGCCAGTTTTTACATTGACTCAAATCTCCTTTCTTTGGCAGTTTGAATAAGTATCCGTTCTTCCAATCCTCGGGTACTTTGCCCTCTTTCCACACCTTCTCTAGTAGTGGCGTCATCAAGTCCGCTGTTGTCTCTGGGTCTATTTTCAAAGCTTCTGCTGGGATTCCATCTGGTCCTGGCGCTTTCCCAGCTTTTAGCATCTTGGTGGCATTCAGGACTTCGGATTTCGTCGGAGGGTCGATGTTCATTGGTAGTTCTGCTTCCGTTGTTGGTATTGTTGGACGCGTTGTAGGTGGCGGACGATTTAGAAGTCTTTTGAAGTGTTCAGCCCAGTGCTTCCTCTGTTCCACCTCTTTGGTGATTGGTTTTCCATTGTCGTCCTTTATTGGCTTAATCTGTGTCGAACTTTTGCCCGAAAGGTGCCTAGTTGTTTGGTATAGTGTAGCGAGGTCTCCTTTGCCTGCAGCTTGTTCTGCTTCGTTTGCCATGGTTTCACAATATTTTCTTTTGTCTTCCCTGGCACTTTTCTTCACTCTTTTGTTCAGTGCATTGTAGCTTGCACTCAACTCCTGTTTCTGTTGCTCGTCGGTGCACTGGATATTCTTTTGTTTCGCCACCCTTCTCTCTTCTATTAGTTTCCAAGTGTCCGTAGAGAGCCACTGTTTGTCCTGTCTCCTTTTTCTGCCTAGGACTTCCATGCAGGTTTGACTCCACACCGTTTTCAATTTGTTCCAGTGCTTTTCGACGCTGACCTTTTCGTTGGTGTTGATTTGTGTCTCGGCTTTTTCCGTTATGTTTTCAATGAAGATGTCCTTTGTAGCCTGGTCCTTCAGCTTTTGAGTGTTGAACTTGGCTTGTGGTCTATCTGCAGCTCCTGTTTCCCTGAAAGCTTTTAATTTGATTTGGATTGTCCCTTGTACGAGGTAGTGGTCTGAGCCAACGTCTGCTCCTCTTCTTGCTCTTGTGTCCAGTAGGCTGCGTCTCCACTTCCTCGATATTGTGATAAAGTCAATTTGGTTTTTGGTTCGCCCGTCTGGTGACACCCATGTAGCCTTGTGGATATCTCTGTGCTTGTAAACACTGCCACCAATCACTAGTTCGTTGAAGGCGCAGAAGTCGGCGAAGAGTTCTCCGTTTTCATTCATTTCTCCAAGAGCTTTTCTACCCATGATGAGTTCTCTTCCTGTATTGTCTGGTCCCAGTTTGGCGTTCATATCTCCCATTAGTATTTTAATGTCGCCAGCTGGAGTATTGTCTATTGCTGCCTGTAGTTGTCTGTAAAATTCTTCTTTCGTTTCGAGGTCTGCGTTGTTGGTGGGTGCATAACATTGGATTATTGACACTTTTCTTCCTTTGGAGTTGAATCTGGCGGTCATTATCCTGGACGAGATCGCTTCCCATTGCATCAGGGCTTTCGTTGCCGTTGGTGACATCATGATAGCCACGCCCTTGGTGTGCGTGTGGTTATCTTCTGGGTGACCGGAGTAGATCACTGACTCTCCCGTTGATAATTTGGTGAGTCCACTTCCATTCCATCTGCTTTCACATATTCCCAGCACTTGGATTCTGTATCTTTTCATCTCGCTGGCGATCTGGGCAGCTTTGCCAGTCTCGTACATAGTGCGGACATTCCATGTCCCCACACAGACTTTTTCTTTTGTCGCAAGGAGATTGCTCATGGTGAAGTTTCTGTAGCAGGTTTGTTTACAGGGTGGGGTTGCTGGCCTCACGCCTGAGTTTCGTCTTCGGGTACCTGAAATGGAAGAAAGGTTAGTGTTGCGTGACCGCAGAGCCCAGGGGACATCTGCTTGAGGCCGGTCACACGCGGCCTGGTGTGTCTCAGTAGTGTACTTATCACTTCTGCCCTGTGACACGGCAGCAGAAAGCGCGGTCGTTGTTAATCCGGGCCACGGCCGATCCGGCATGATATTTCTTGGATTTGTTGGGTTCATGGGTTTGGATTGATGAATGATGGCGACTAAGTCCAGCCCCCACTGATACCGTCGCCAGTGTATCAGTAGGTTGTGAGGTTTGAAAAATTTCGTTGGCGTCCGCTGCTACTGTCAACGGAGCTACTCAAGGAGCGGTGTGACGACCCAAGTTATCTTCTACTGATACCGTCGCCACAGTCATACCAGTAGAAGTCCGGTTAAGCTGCCGGTCAGCCTCCTGTTATACTGCCCCTCAAGGAATTGGTGTGTGATTTTACCAGAAGGTCTCCTCAACATGCCTCCATTTCATTTCCATTTCGTTGTGCTTATGTATTGGGCAACAATTTGGCTGCCTGAGTTCCTTGTTACTTATCGCCTCTGGCTGACAAACAGATGAGGAGTCCCGAATTGGGACGAAACAGCTGTTCAGTACTCCGAGGTTTTCCAGTGGTTCTCCAAGTGATATCAGCTATTGATAAAACGTCTAACCGAATAAATATAATAATGATAGCTTCATTCTGAAACAATGTTTATACAATGTACAGAATTTTTTGGCGGAGTTTTGTTTCATAACCTTTCCTCTGTGTCCAGGATCTTCAAATAAAAGATTTGATTGGCAGTAGGTCGTGTGACATAGCTCTATCTGATCCAAAACGTAAACCAGTCCATTAAGATGATATCTCTTCTTTTTCTCCTTCGAGAAACACACGATGATATTTTGTTGAACGCCAATGATAAAAATTTCAGGAACACATTTCGCGAACCAAGGATACCACTGAGAAGCTGTGGGATAAGCTGCCATCCACGCTGATGCTTTTTCTCATATTTAATAGAAACTTGCGAAACCACAGGCTGTAAATGTTTTAAATATTCACCACAGTAAACAACACTACTAGAGATCATATCTTACTAGTGTTAAACAAATTGAATAAAAGAAACTGTAAGCAATACATTCATGAAGATTTTCGCTGGCTCAAATTTTAAGCAGGCCGCCAGTCAATAGTAAATAATAAAATGAATAATATTTTCTATAGTTGGTTTATAAGTAATTGTTTTGTTTTTATGAGTTGATCACAGATTGTTATCAGTTAGAGAACCACTGAAAACCAGCACCGGAGTACTAGACAAATGTTTTGTCAGCCTAGTTTGCGACTCATCACCAGTAGGCACCCAGTGGAGTTTGAACCCAGCACCTTCCGGTTACAAGGCCAGCAAGATCATATACCATTCAGCCACTGATACGCGATCCCTCAATGGCCAGTCCATGAATTCTAACTCCTATCAACTCGTCATTTGGCGCTAGTGGCTTGATACAGGATGAAGTTTCCTGGAGTCCTAGTGAAATGGCGTG